ACCGAAAACAGTGACTTAACAGCCCTCCACAGAACAACCACATCCTGGTAGGGATCCAAATCTGTCAGGAATGGAAATTTGGCTTATTCACCGTCGGCCTTTGCAATGGAAGTTGTTGTTTTTCAAATGGGTGGTTGTCAAAATTATGGTCCCTTTTTGGATCCCTATTATAATACGGCACCTAATATTTAGGGTACCCAAAAAGGAACCATAATTTTGACAACCACCCAAATTGGAGGCCTGTTGTGTATCCCCATGGTTGGGGTCTTTGCTTTGCTAGGCTGCTAGATGCTTGGCCAGAAAGCACAAAAGCCCAGGAAGTCCCAGACCCTAAAACTCTACGCCTCGCTAAACCTAGTTTTAGCTGGACATTTTCAATATTGCCGAACTCTACTTCAAATAGGGACTTGTAGCAGTATCTTGGTTCTCGATCCCGAGGGGCCGACAATTTTGAGAAGCTCCCATCTTGGCGTTTCTCAAGATGATGCCTTCATAATCTTCTAGGGCCCGCCAAGAATCTCTGCATAATCCTTTGCGTCCACAAGGGGGTTTCCCAAAATTAGGGGTACCATTTTGGGGGTCTTAATGATAAGGATTATATTATTTTGGGGTCTATATTGGGGTCCCTTTATTTCAGGAAACTACCATTTACCCCTATTATGGTAGTTTCTATGTTCTTCTCCATTATGTCTATTAATAATTTTGGGGTCTATATTGGGGTCCCGTATTTTGGGGAATTACCGCAAAGTCCCTGTTAGCCCTTTCTGTTTCAAAAGCCGCCTTTGGTCTGCAGCGGATGAGGCGCTCCGCGACGGCATCCTGTCCGACGCCCGAACGGAAGTGCCCTGCCTTAAAGACTGCTTGCCCTAAGGGTCCATGTACCCAATAAATGGGTACTTAGGGTTTTGGTAGTAGTAGCTATAGTACAGGTTTTGGGTAAGTATATGATTATTAGGTACTTGGACCCTTTGGGTTGTTTTATATTCATTAAGTGGACCCCCCACCCAGTAATAGTGACTATAAGGGATAATAGGGATTATATTAGGGTCGTCTTATATTCTTATTATAGCCACTAATAGATTATGTCAAAGTTGCTTGAAAGCGGATATGTTGGGATTGAAAGGGGATTAGTTTTGGAGCTCCTCCTTAAGATCCTCGTCGTCGTCGTCGTCGTCGTCGTCGTCGTCGTCGTAGTAGTAGTAGTAGTAGTTTCTGCCATCATTGCCCCACCTTTCTTGATCATTGTCAGTCAGTGTTCTTGTTCGAGTATGATCCGCGATCATACTTTGTTTAGAAGCATGCCTGTATAGGATGATTTCCATGAACAGGGGAGCCCCTCTGCCGACCCCCAAACACTCTAACCCTAATTGTGGGGACTCCCGAAACAGGGCCCCACACTTTGCTGAGAAGCCCTCGTATCTTTCTACAAATGTAAAGTAGTTAGTGACGTGAGATGACTGACTCCAGAGGTTCTTTTGACTGTGTTATGGCAACGGTAAGCCGTACTGGCACGACGATTGCTCATGATGATGATGATGATGATGATGATATCTTTCCTGCAAGTCTTTGTCTTCATCATACAGAAGCCTGAGTAATTACCAATGATCTTTCCTGAGAATCCATCCGGCTCTAAGATTATCCGCAGCATGAGAATGGCACCGGGAGTGATTTTTCGGTGTACTTGCTGGTAGCGTGGGGAGTATTTTTCAAGGTTGCTGAGGTCGCTAGAGCAGTTTAATTGGCACAGGCTGGACAATCACCCGAAAGAGCAATTGCGGTGCCACATGCTAGCCCAAGGCCCAATCTTCTGGCCCTGTACCAAATTATTCTTTCAATCCACTCCCATAAGAATAGACTACAGATTCTCTCTGCTGCCTTTGCCGTACTAATCCCACTATAGTACCATGATGGTGTCCCAAAATAGGGTGAGCCCAATATCAACGCCCAAATACATAATCCCTGTTGGAGGTACCCCTCAAAAAGTACTCCTAAGTTTGGAAAACCCTGAACCTTAATCCCTAAACCTCAAACCCTACATGTCCCCTACAATCCCTCTAAAGGTACTCCTAATTTTAGGGGGGGGAATAATTCATCTCTGCTGGAAGCCGTCCCTGCAGATGAATGACAACCATAAGTCCACACTGCAGTCCGTTCTTCGAGGCTCTGCGCGTGCTGTAGAAACCTACATGAGCTTTTGTAGTCTAAACTCCTCAAAGGGAGGTTATATAGGGCTTTATATAGGGGACTACTACAGGGGTTATTAAGAGGGATACTAGGAGTTTAGACTATAGCTCACATGAGCTTTTTGTACTCTAACCACTCTAAGGGGTAGTATATAGGGGTCAATTATAGGGGGTCACTGAGGGGGATACTAGGAGTTTAGACTATGGCTCAACTGACCTTATGGCCCTGGATTCCTCTTATCATATAGTATAGGGTGCCTCAAAGTGACCTCAACATGATGTTGGCAATCCTTTGTTCTCGGCCCCAAATGCTGTGGAGTCTCTTTTTCGGGATGCGGGAAAGACCTGAGCGAGATGCACGGGTGATTGTCCCCTTTCTTTCACATGTTCTACTAAGATGTAATCTGAAGGACAGATACGAAATCCTTGCACTCTTGATGCAGTTTTTAATTTAGGATTTAGAGGTAAGCCTTGTTGGTAGAGAGTCTCGGCTTTGGGTGTTTTAATGGGCAGAGGTTGAAGGCTTCTCTGAGCTCTGCATCATTAGGCGCAGGGACCAAGGGACCAAGCAATGATGCGGGAACGCAATCTTCTTCCAAGTTCCATCTAGAGTGCTACGGAACTTTTCAACTCATAGTTGCAGTTCTAGCATGGATGTGTAGTGCCCAAACGGGGCTTTGTCTGACGACTTCCCAGATATAGATTTGTCTGAAGAAGGATTCTCGCTCCTGGCTGTTTCCAAATTTACATGGCCAGTTTTACAAAGCTGAATCCCTAAACCCTAAGCCCTAAGCCTTAAACCCTAAGCCCAAGGCCCTAGACCCTAAACCCTAGGCCCTAAACCCTAAACAAGCGGGCATGGAACTGCAGTTGTGACTTGCGCTAAGCTTCCTTGATCCGAAAGGCTGGAGACAGGAGGTCACCAAGCTGGGCGCCTAAAAGGGGGCTTAGGGTCCAAGGTTTAGGGTTTAAAGTTTAGGGTGTAGGGTGTAGGGTGTAGGGTGCGGGGTGCAGGGTTTAGGATTGTGGGAACGCAAATGGAAACCACTATTTAGGGTTTAGGAAGAAGGCGGTTAGAGGTGTCCTGAATATGTTGCTTTCAGTTTTTTGCTTTTTTTTTTTTTTTTATAGCAAACCCTTCATAAACTGCTAACCCTAAACCCTAATCCCCAATCAAACTCACTTTATGGGAAGATTCCCGTGGGAGGGGCAGCTCTGGGGCAGATATAGGGGTTTCCGAAAATTAGGCTATCATTTTGGAGGGTCCGCATAATAAGGATCGTAGTATTTGGCGTCTATATTGGGTCCCCTCTATTGGAAAACTACCCTAAACCCCTTAAACCCCAAATAGTAGTTTCCATGTTCTTTTCCATTATCCCTCTATAACCCCAATTTATTACGGTAACCCGCAGAACCCCCAATATTACCATATGAGCTGTAGTCTAAACTCCTTGTATCCCCCTTAATAACCCCTATAGTACTCCCATATATAATCCCCTACATAACCCCCTTTAAGGAGTTTAGACTATAGCTCATATAGACAAGTCTGCGCAGTCAGGTCTTGATTGAGCTGGTCTCAAGGTCCTCACAGTGGTTGAAGGTTTTTGGGATTTAGGGTTGTCAAGGGCTGTTTAGGGTCGATTAGGGTTAAGGGTTTTGGGTTTAGGGAGGAGGGTTGTTAATAGGGTTGTTTAGGGTTTAAGGTGTAGGGTTTGGGGTTTAGGGCACTTGCTTGGAGAGCCTGCGTAATTAGAGGTAAGTTGAGAGCATGGTCCCCGAGGGTCCCAGGACCCAATAATGATTCGGTACTTTGGATTTGGGTAGCAGGTAGTCATGGTACAGGTTCTGGGCGAGTATATGATTATTTTGCACCTGGATTTTTGGGGGCACCATCATCGCCTGCTTGTGTCCAGTATGGCTGACCCACCTTGATTCAGTCAGTAGCAGCTGGCAGGGATCAGACTCAGACTCCATCCGCCACCCAACCCTGAATCGGGCGCATGCTTTTGGCCACCTTCTCCGACCAACCAATACCCCTACCATTTCTGATGCAACCCTATCCAGTAGCAGCCAAACAGTCCAAGCTTCCTGCAGATGTAGCATCTTGTGTTATGCATAGCAGATGCAAAACCTCAATCCTCACACATAATTCAGTGCAGTTTTGCTGCCCAAGCTTTGACCCTGAATCGGTAACAGTTCCAAAGACCAAGCAAACACGGTTTTTCCGAGAAGCCCAAAAAAGCGTGCACGCGAGGTCAGCCGAGATCAGGCACGAAGACGAGCAGCCGGGTGCCCATTGAATCAAAGTCTGGGATCCTTTCAGGAGACCATAGAGGTTTGGGTTACATTGGGGTTATATTGGGGTTACATTAAGGTTATATTAGGGTTATATTGGGGTTATATTGGGGGCAATGGAAAAGAAAATGGAAACTACTATTATCGTTTTTGCGGCGGTATCCCTGAGGGCCTGACGTGTTACAAATAGACGCATCCTGGCATTTGCTGGTCAGGGTTCTTTGTCATTCGGAGTCAGACCTTAATTTCACTGTTGCTTGAAATGGCAAGTATGGTGCAGATTTCTGACGGTCGATGTCGACGTAGGCTGAAACGCGCGCCTGTTCATCACAAGCTAAAGTCAGTCCAGGCCAAATTCGAGCCAGTAAAGATGGTCGTGCCAGCACATCCTGGCAGCAAACCAGTTGCTTGCCAGCTTCTTGTTTGTCAAGTTGTCATACACCGATCCTTGCACAATAGGACACCGGGTTCTATAGTGTGTTAGGGATGGTCGCCAGGTTTGTGTCTATTTGTGTTGGAGCCATGGCAGCCCGCTATGCAATCCGTCAGGCCCGGCCAGATGAACAGACGGCGTTGTTTGACCTTTGGCACGCGTCTGTGCAAGCCACACACAGCTTTCTATCAGAAGATGCACTTGCTGAGATTGCCATTGAGGTGAAAGACAAGTTCCTGCCAAATGTTGTGCCCGATGTCATTGTGGATGTTGGTGATGACAAGCCTCTTGGCTTTCTGGCCATGTCAGGAGACAGCATCGATGCACTCTTTGTTGATGCGAAGTGTCAGGGCCAGGGCTTGGGAACGTTGCTCATGGACGCGGCAAAAGCTGGCAAGAACTCGCTGACAGTGGAGGTGAATGAGCAGAATCCCAAAGCATGGACTTTCTACCACCGTTGCGGCTTCGTCGATATCGACCGGAAACCTGTGGATGATGCTGGCCGGCCATTTCCTCTCATTGTGTTGAGATGGACTCGTCCTGACCCATCCAGCGAGTGAAGCCTGTGAGAGGATGACCCCTTGTCATTGTCATTTGCGGTTCGTGTTCCTGGTTATTCTGGCATTTACACCTTCTAATTCTAGCTTCTCCAAGCACTGGCCTCGGTGCTGGAATTCCTTGCCATACAGAGATGCAGTCGAGCAGCCAGTTATCCATTGCCAAGCTATTTTACAAGAATATGGTAAGATATTCTAGTATATAATCGTATATTGTGATAATATATTAGTGTAGTATGCTTTAGTATATTGTAGTATGTTGTAGTTTGTATCTCATAGTTGCTGAACATATTGGAGCAGTTTGCCAACGACCGCTCGGCCTGACGGGCACAAGAGCCTCCCTTTGACGTATGAGCTACAGAGTCTAAACTCCTTAAAGGACGGTTATATAGGGGATTATATAGGGGACTACTATAAGGGTTATTAAGGGGGATACTAGGAGTTTAGACAATGGCATATATGAGCCATATAGTCTAAACTCCTTAAAGGAGGTTACATAGGGTTTAGGGCTTAGGGCTTAGGGTCTCAAATTCCTAAAGGGGATTATATGGGGGAGTATAGGCCTTACTAAGGGTAAGGGGGATACTAGGAGTATAGACTGTAGCTCATATTGTTGTGCCTGCGTGCATGTGGCTTCAACTTGCCGGTTGCTCAAGGTGACCTGGTGTGAGTCAAACTATAATTGAGTAGTATTTTATTTGGGGAGATTATGGTAACCAATACAGAGTAAGATTCTATGGGGTATAGTATCTTATATAAGGAATATAATCTTACTGGGTTCAACCACCAAGAACAACACTACTCAATTGGTGGAGCGTTGTTGGTCCAGGTGATAACGCCCTAATCCCTGAAGAATATGGCGCCTTCCATTTGAATTTCCATTGTTCCCCTATATAACCCCTTCAATTGCAATGTGTCGCACCCTCTGATAAAAGACTTCCTCCATGCGGGATAGAACCCCAGATTTTGAACCTCTGCGAATCCCCTTACCACTGCCCAAGTATTGAAGATGTGCCCAACGGGGGAGGGGGGTGTCTAATACCTAATACAAGTGGGGAAGTAGATGACAAACTTCCAAGGGCTCCTCGTCAAAGCGAGGATGATTTGTCCAAACAGTACTTGTTAACAGACCCCATGTTTTCCCATAGTCGTGGGTGAGTGTAACCCGAAACCCGAAACCCCAAACCCTAAGCCTACCCACAAGGGGCTTTTAGACCCTAGAATTCCCTATTGGACCCTATTAAGGGTAGGTTAAGGTACCCTTAAGGTCTAACAGCCCAGTGGTCAGACATGGGGTTCGTCAGCAGGCCAAGCCAAAGCGCGCCAGCATTCCGTCAGCACAGAACCAAAAGCTGGCATTGCCTGGCATTTGAAAGAACCTTTGACCCTAAAACCAACAGTTGCAATGAGCCATAGTCTAAACTCCTTAAAGGGGGTAAGGGGGTTACATAGGAGAATCTATAGAGGACTATTGTACTGGTATTGTGCTGGTTATTAAGGGGATACTAGGAGTTTAGACTACGGCTCATGTTCCTAGGTTGCGCATGTTCAATGATGCACAGATCAACAAGTGGCTGCAGAAGAGGCCAGGCACTTTGATGTCGCGTCCTTTTGCAACTATTGCCTTGCTACTGCCTCCTCCACCACCACTCCCTGTTCTGTTTTCCCTTTTGCTCTGGAAATTTTAGTCTTACACAGAAATTATTCTTGTCTTGAGAGACCGACGGTCCTGAGGTGAGTGGAGCATGGCCTGAAGATTCGGTTTGTCAAGAAAAGCCAATGAAGCGCTTTCCGATCACTCAGAAGCACAGTGTGGGACTAGCAGTCAGAACCTGTTGGAACAGTAGCAAGACGTCCTGTGTTGTAGCTACACAGGATCGCTATCCTGAGATGTCACAGTAGGGGAATCCTTTATGCATCGCAATAATTGGTTGTAAATACGATTTCAGTAAGAAACTCAATCTTAGTTGCAATACTTTTCCAACTTACTGATCTTGGCTATGGTGGCTTTCCCTTTTCTGCCACCCCCCCTGAATTACCGACCCCTCTTATCTGCCTCTCACAAATGGAGGCTCCTCAAAATGGGGGTCTCCCGATAGAGCTGATCCTTATTGCAGAGACTGCTCGCAAAGGGACCCTCAAACACTTTTACCCAGGCACTTATGGAATCTAAAACGCGGCCTTGTACATTCTTCTGCCGATTGAAAGCAACCCCACATGAAGTTCCAGCTACTTTACCCAAGACCCCTGACAAGCGCTGAGGCCTACATCTAAATCCTAGTCACTTGTGGGTTGCTAGTAACTTAGTAGAGCGAAGGAAGGAATGGAACAGAACATGACCAACGCCCTGTTATTAGGGGGTTACCAGAAAGCTAGGCCTTGAGCCTAAACCCGATGTATCCCAGCAAACACCAATTTCCATTGCATGTTCCATTCGAAGTTTTCATCATTCCTTACAAGTTACCAATTAGAACCAGCAAGTCATGCTACCCTAAAACTGAAACCCATACGTGACAGCTTCCATGTTCTTTCGTCTTCCTTCAGCCCCTGCTCTGTACATGCTGCAACCACAACGGGCTTTTAGACCCTACAATTCCCTATTTGGACCCTATTAAGGGTAGATTAAGGTACCCTTAAGGTCTAACAGCCCATAGTGGAAGGAAGCTGCAGCTGGCTAACGTCCAGCAAGAGCGTGAGCTGACCCGCTGGATGATCAGCAGCCTCGCTTCCCGAGGCTTCTTGCGGTTTAGGGTTTAGGGTGTAGGGTTAGGAGGGTTTAGGGTTTAGGGTAGGGTCAGGGTTTAGGGACTTGAGATACGGCATAGGAAGGATTCGTCCCGGGATGCAGATAGCGAAAGGGCCTGAAGCAGGCACAATTTACAACTTTGAGGTCCAACGTGTCATTTTGTGGACGTAAAACGGGGTGATGTACTGTAGGATAGCGTTTGTTTAGGGGTGGCAGGAGATGGGATAGGTGTATGCCCGCCATCTATCGGTTGCTCTGCATTGGTGCTCGCCACCACAATTAGTATCTTGCCGGCACAGCCTTGCAGTTGGTCCACCAAATCTCTACAACTGTCATTAGCGGGATTTTTTGTGACTTCATCAGAGATTTGCACCGACCCTAATATGAACCCAATGCGTACTAGAAACCCTACACCCTGATCCCCTTGTCCCTAATTATTCCCTATATAACTATATTATACCCTACCCCCCTAGCATTTCTTTGGGTTGAGTTGCCTGTGAATGTCCCTGTGTATGTCAGGGATTTATGTACATATATATATATAT